CACCCCCTTTGGAATAGGCAATATGAGATGCCAAGTCAATCCACTCTCCTGCTTCCCCTCCTTCCTCTTGCAATCTTTTCAAATCCCAGCGAAGGTCTTCTCAAAAAGGCTTCTGCAATGGCTTAAAGGGTGAAACAGGCAGCGTGTGCGCAGGAGGAGACGTGATGGATGGGTTCGGTGGGTACCATCATCTGAATTTGTGGGAAATGGTGCGTCGGTGTGTGCGTATGTGTGTACTGCGTGGGTGGTGTGCTGCGTGGGTGAACCTTGTTGGCATGGGAGGGCGGTGTGTTTGTGTGGCTTGCGTGGGCGGTAGTGGTGGTGGGCCAGCTGAAAGTCTGCCTGTGTGTCACAAAAGAGAGCCCCTCCCTCTCCAGCAGGCAGGCAAGCTTGCCTTTGCCTGCAGAGTCGCAGAGGGAGAATCTGCTTGTTTCTACGCAACCCGGCTGCGATCAAACAGATGCAAGGAGGAAGTAGAGGCTCTGCAGGGGCTGCTACAGCCAGGCACAGATAGCAGAGCCTTATACATTGAGTCAATGTGAGAGCTGAAAACCTTTGCATCCAGAAAGGCCTGGAACTCTTCCTTTTGTTATCCCCGGTGGGCTGGAGAGGGAAAAAGCAAATTGCTTCCCACCTTGTACTGGAAGAGATGCACTAGGACATGTTTGGAATGCGACTAAAATCATGTGCGGAGGCTGTTGTGTGGATGTGGGAGGGTATGGGTGCCTCTTCCTGTGATCCTCCTCTGCTGTCACCCCTCACACTTCTTTATTGCGCACTGCGCAAACCTGATGCTCCAGGCTGCTCCAGTTGCAGGAGCAGAATGCAGTTGCTTATTATCTCTAGGATCAAGAGGGTCTGAGAGGTTCAGGATGAGCAGAATAATGATCGACACATCCCTGCTGCCTACCAACTCATGTGGTCTGTGTGATGGCTAAGAATGCCAGCCTCAAGCTACTTGCTGCCAGGGCAGGACTTGCTTGCACATCTTGATCAAGCATGTCTTGTCTTATAGGTAAGCTTCACGTTGTTCAATGCAGCAAGTTCTTATCTCAGAGCCTCCAATAATCCATGAAAACTTTTAAAGCATAATTTATGCCTGGTGGTGTGATTTCTGAAGCATGGGCTTCCATTCTGGATGTTACCTTTAAGCAGAGGTTAGAAATGTTACTTTTTAAAACAACAACAACAACAACAATGCAATCCCAAGAGCATCCCAGCCATCATGGCCACAGTCCATGCTGGTTGAAACATTTTGTGACCTGTTAGTTCATAAACACAATGCTTCCCATGTCTGATGCAGAATTACACAGTTTCTGAACTGGCCGTATTCAGAATCCCATGGAGTTCAACAAGACTCACACCCAAGGCTGTTTCATGATAGAGTGGTGATGTTCTGGATTCTCCTTCTTGCTCATGCTGCCAGCTAGGACTGCCTCTGCTTTTTGTATTCCCATACAAGTATGCAAAAGTTACACATACACTCTGGTCTTCTCTATCAGTCATGGACCTACCCTGTTTCCCTGAAAATAAGCCCTAGTATGATTTTTCAGGATATTCGTCATATAAGATCACCTGGCAGGACAAAGTTCCAAATAGAGTAGTCCTAGAACGAGCTGGAATTTTTAGCATGTACACATTACTCAAACAACGACATCTACGTTGGCTTGGGCATGTCGTGAGAATGGCTGATGGTCAGATTCCAAAAAATCTCCTGTATGGAGAATTGGTGCAGAGAAATCACCCCGGAGGGAGACCACAGCTGTGATACAAGGATATCTGCAAGTGGGATCTGAAGGCCTTAGGAATGGGCCTCAACAGATGGGAAACCTTGACATCTGAGGGTTCAGCCTGGAGGCAGGCGGTGCATCATGGCCTCTCCCATTTTGAAGAGACCCTTGTCCAGCAGGCCAAGGCAAAGATGCAGTCCCAAACCCAGCAAAATCAGGGAGCTGGACAGGGGACAGATTGTATTTGTCTTCAGTGTGGAAGGGGTTGTCACTCTCGAATTGGCCTTCTCAGCCACACTAGATGCTGTTCCAAGTCCTCCATACAGAGCACGTTACCATAGTCTCTCGAGACTGAAGGATGCCTAACTAACTAACATAATATAAGGCCTACCCCCCCAAAAGGGCCAATTAAGTGGGACCCCACCCTCCACTATTGTGCAGCAACCAGAACAAGATGACATGACTGTATTTGGATAAACATAGATTGTTGTACATGAACAAAATAAAACATCCCCTGAAGATAAGCCCTAATGTGTTTTTGGAGCAAAAATTAATATAAGACCCTGTCTTATTTTGGGGATAATTCTGGCCTTAGTGACATCACAGCAGGTAAACCGATTGATGATGATGATGATGATGATGATGATGATCATCGTCATCATCGTCGTCATCATCTAGTCGAATCCTCCCACATAAGCATGTATTGAAAGGAAGGAAATTTACCCCTTTTATTACTGAGAGAGAGCAGGGTATTAAGATACAACACATTTTTAGAAGTTATGTTGTATATATTTTCTCAACGGGGGCCCACATTTTTTTTAGCTCTCTGACTAACTGTGGTCCTGGGGCAGACGTGACACTGAAGTTGCATTTCAGAATCCATGTGATTCTGATCAAAACAGAGTCCACTTCTACCATTGCTTTAATGACAACAGCCACATAAAACGATGGTGTGAAGTGTGTTCATTTAACTTTAGTAACAAAAGTACTTCATTACTTATAGCGACATAATTAGTTCCTTCCCCCCAGTAATGATAGCATAACTAAGTAAAATTATAACAGTAGATTACTAAGAGATAACCTCATTCCTTCTCCGTACAACAGTTGCTTTTAGTTATGCTTATCGGTAATGGTTTCTGGCAGCACTAAATGGTGGGGAAAAATACATAGTTCATAGGCTGATTTTGTGTTGCTTCATATAGATTTACTTTAAAGAAGGAATTAAATAGGGAATAGTCTAGTTACATTTTAGAAATGGAAAACAAAGCTAATTTTAAAAGTATAACTAGTTGTAACTAGTTACTTGGTCCCTAGAATGATGAAAAAAAAAAAAACCCTTGATGTTAGGAAAGTGTGACGGCAAGAGGAGAAGGGGACGACCGAGGATGAGATGGCTGGACAGTGTCTGCGAAGCAACCAACATGAATTTGACACAACTCCGGGAGGCAGTGGAAGATAGGAGGGCCTGGCGTGCTCTGGTCCATGGGGTCACAAAGAGTCGGACACGACTAAAATACGACAACGAGAATAATGTCAGTTGCTAATTACTTTAAAAGTAACTTTCAGAGCTGTGCTAATGGCCTCTTTTAGAGAGGCAAAATGAACCAGATGAATGTTTTCACAGTTACACAAAGATTTTCTTTTCCGACATAGGGATAGGAGCAGGAGAGAGGATGTTTTGGGGAAAGCAGCATAAAAAATGGTCACAAAGTGCCATTTTTGTCTGATTGGATTATACCCCAAAGCTTTCCTTTTTCTACTGGACCCTTTCGCTTCTTCCTTTTAATGAACCTTTTGTTCCTCCTTCCTATCTCTTAAAGCCCCCTTCAGAGAACAGTGCTCAGAATCACAGGCAGGTTTATGAATTGAAGTCAGTCTGTGTATCTTAGCAACGGCGTGTATAGAAAAGTTCAAGGTGTGAGGGTGAAGGAATGACATACAACCAGCACTTATAGAGCCGTAGAAAACATACTTATGCTCACTCCTCTATCTGCCTATGCTCTCTTATCCCTTGCCATGGAATTTCTCATCTGATCCATCAAAGAAATACATTTCATACCTGAGGTTGCTGCCTTGAATAACTCCATGACAGCTGAAAATTCAGGGGATGAGGCAGTGATGGGAAAACTACTGAACTCAAAATGAATTGGGTGGCTGTTTAACTGGATCTGGCTTAAATTTCAAAGAAATTTAAAGAACTGTTGGCAACAATTAAAACATCATGGTGTTTCTGTGTGTGAGAATACTTATGTGCCAACATCATCAGTTAGTGCTGGGAAAAGCTATTTCTGGACTACATTTCCCAGAATCCCCTGGCTATGCTGGTTAACAGATTCTGGGAGCTTTAGTCCAAACAAGTAATTTTAGTAAACTCTGCCTGCATTTATATTTCTTCTTATCCCGGCCACAAAAACTGTAGCTCGATGAAGGGTTTGAGGGTTGTCTGAATCAGAAAGACCTTATGCTCCCTCTAGTAATTAGATCTGTGGCTTCTAGGATTCCTGGATCAGACAACAATTATTAAACCTCCATGTAGTATCTATCTCCCAACGGAGATAGATACTAATACACTCCCGAAGCCAGCATATAAGCAGCACGTCTATAGCATCTACACAGAACTTAAGATTTATTACTCTTTTTTGGACTACAATTCCCAGAATCCTCCCAGACAGCATGGCCAAACTTTGCATTGATACTGTTTCTCAAGTAAGCACCCCCAAACCTACATTGTGGCTCTTATCCTTGCCAGTGCCATCAGATAGCATATATCTTCAAAGTCTTTAAGAAGGTCCCAAATTTGACACAAGACAAGGAGGTCAGCCGCCACCTGCACAACTCTGGATCTCACCTTTGGTATATCTGAGCTCATTACATTTTGCTGCTATTTATCTGAAGGTAATTTGCATCCATTTTTACTCACACTCTGGATTCAAATTCATTTCTGGATGGAAAATGTTAACATGCTTCCGTAATTGTTCCTCCCTTCTCTTTCTCTGCCACCAGCCATGATTACAGAACTTAGAATAAATCACAAGGCATTTGGAAGAACACGGAAGACCAACATATTCTTGGATACATTCCTGAAATGGGAAGGGAGAAAAAAGGGGCTTTTCTCTGGTGGAAAAGTATTTATTATTAACTTTTTGCTTCCTGAGGAAGTGGCCACTCTTCCAGAATGCTGGATGCAGATGGCAGTACGTCATAAAAACAATATCTTTTCCAGCCTTTTTTCACTGATCACCACATGGGCACATTGCAACCATGAAACCATACATTTGAAGGGGCATTTTATTGAAATAACCTGCCCCTAACATATGCTCATTGTTGGACAGTCAAGCTGCAGTGAGGATGATGACAACACTTAGGCTTTTGAAATAAAACTCTAGAGCAGCCTTCAACTGGAAACAGATGAGATGGGTGCCCAGGCATTAAAGCCAAGTCACTGATAAAATTCAGGCTTTCTTCTCCTCCAGCACAACTTGCTGTGAGAATTGTCTTCCTGCCTGGAAGCCAAGGGCATCACAATACTATGGAGCTTCAGCTGGGATCCTGAGACTTAGCAGCATTTACCATGTTTCATCACTCAAAACTCTTTTGTTGGTGGATTATGGGAGTTTTAGCCTTACCCATCTGAGGGATTCTACATCAGGGAAAGCTCTTTTATGGTATGTTAGTCTAAATGTGATTGGTAGTCCCACCTAGAGTAGACCTATGAAATCCAACTGATGAATAGAGATTCAATGATTTTTTTTTTTTTGAATCTCATTGATTCAATGGATCTGTTCTATTTGGGATGATCGTCTGGATTGAAACTTTTTTTTAAAAAGGACCCAGTATGGTTAGTTTACTAACATGTTCTGCTTCAGGGTACAATGTAGAACATGATATTACAAACTGAAATAATACAGAAATTCTCCAGTGATATCTAATAATAAGTGGGTGGGCATAAAATGAGGATGCTTAGCCGTGACTTTTGGGGTGAGGTGTTATAAATAAAGGCGCAGCTATTTTCAATTATGAAATGCTGACAGGTATACTGCGCAATTAACTCTAATAATCACTGTGTGAGCTGAGGGTAGAACCTTCTTCCAAAGCAAATCCCAAAGCTTTTGCTACACCAGATAGTCCTGGTTTGCTGTGGCCATTGTAAATTGTTATTCAACCTTACGTTAAGCATCAAGGGGACAGTTACTTCTTCTCTGCCATCTCAGGCTTCTCTCTGTTTTCTAGCACTGACTTGATCTGTGGATCATTGTTCCAGTTTGTTGCTCCACATGGGTTTCAGCCTAGAAATTCTGGAGAGAAAGACACAAAAGTCCCTTCCCCGTCATTATAAGTAGCTAATGCTCATAATGCTAGGCTTCTCACAGCTAACCGATTCCTCAGGTATTTGCTTCTGGTCACTTTGTCCTCTTGATCCAGTGAGTGGGGTACACTTCTGCCTGCCATTGCCATTTTGGGTAATCTTGCAGACCTTACTTGCTTTTACCTCCATTTCTTCTTCCTCGTCATCCTCTTCCTCCTCTTCTTCTTCTTCCACCTTATCTGCTGTGATTGCTGCTGCTGCTACTTCTTTGCTCTGCACTCGGCGAGACGGTCTCAGGATGGCCCTACGGAAACCCTGCTTGAAGCGGTAGGAGAGGAAGCCATAGATGATGGGATTGGCACAGCTGTTGGCATAGGGCAGCACCACAACAAGGAAATAGACACCAAAAAGGGATGGCTCCTCAGGCAAAGTCCAAATGACATTGATGATGTTGAGCACATAGAAAGGCAGCCAGCAGAGTACAAAGACGGCTACCACAGCTACGACCATACGTGTGACCCTCCGTTCAGAGTGCTTGCGCTTGGCTGTCACCGCCTGTACCTTTCTTCCTGAGGAGCGAACCTTGATGACAATGAGTAGGTAACACAGGCAGATGATCAACAGTGGCCCAAAGAAGCCAAGCACAGCTGTGTAGATAATGAAACCAGCCTTCCATACTGCAGCGGGCTCAGGCCACTTAATGTGGCACGTGTTCATGCCCTGAGGGACCTCTGAAAACACCACCACTGGCATCACCACTATTGAAGAGAGCACCCACACAGTGGCACTGACAGCCTTGGCCACCCTTGCTGTTCGCCATTTTGATGATTTCCCTGGGTGCACCACAGCTAAGTAGCGGTCAACGCTCATCACAGTAAGGCAAAAAATACTAGTGAATTGATTTATGGCATCCACAGCCATGACTAGTCGACACATGAATGAACCAAAGGGCCAATAGGATAAGGCATTCTGTGCCGCCAAGAAGGGCAGGCCAAGCATAAAGAGTTCATCTGCCAAGGCCAAGTTGAAGATGTAGACATTGGTCACTGATTCACTCACCGCATGGCACAAGACCACATAGATGACCAAGGAGTTTCCAGCTAGTCCTACTACACAGACAACAAGGTACACCAGAGGAATAAGGACACCGCTGACATCCAGACCAAGACTGATAGTTAGGGACAAATTGCCAGAAACAGATGATGCCCCACTAGCTGTTGAGTTCTCTTCCCACAAAGTCAATGTGGAAGAGAAGTTGAGATGGTTCATGGCAGAAGAGTGGAGTTAGTTTAGTCCACTGAATCAGTTAACATGGATCTGCATTTAGGAAGAAAAGAAAAAGAAAATTATAATTCACCTTACTAAAGAACCCCACACTTTTAAAGACGCGTGCATTTAAAGTTCTGGCATTCTAACTCATTTACTGATTTTTAAAAATGTCTTATTTAAAATGCTTGTAATTTATTAATAATTTGTTCATAACTAGAGATGAGGATTAATAAAAAATGGCGATTTGTTTTGATCCGTTATTCATCAAGGTTAACAGATCAATGAATACAAATATATAAATATTCTTCAACAAATTAACAGATCAATCCATTGATTTCTCTGCACTTTAAACAGCTATAACACTGGCCCCCAACCACCTAGAGACACCAAATTCGCAGGGAAGCTTCCTCAAATGCTTTTCTACAATTTCTGAAAGTTTGGTGAACATTGGATCATGGACCCCTGAGTTATATAGTCACAAAAAGGAATCCACAGGTACTTAGAGACTCCAGAATCACAACAGAGTTTCCTATGTCTTTCCCCAACACGCCTGCCAACTTTGGTGAAGATTGGATGTTGGACATCCCAGTTATTCACTCACAAATTGGTTCCCCCCGCCCAGGAGAGTTTGCCACGCGGCACAGAAGCCCATTCCACCTACCGGCTGCTGATCAGCTGACCAGAAGCCGATAGGCAGCCACCCCCCCCTGCAGCCAGCTACCCCAACAGCTTACCCCCACACCCCCTTCCTTTCCCTACCTTATCCCCCACCCCACTTCCACTGACACCCCCTTACCTTAATAGCTGCTGCCGAGGGCTCCATCAAGCCTTTGCAGCCTCAGTGTGTAAAAAGGGAGACTGGCCGCCCTTTGCAAAGATGGTGGCTGTGGCTTAATTTAGGGTAGGGAAGCTGCAGGTTCCATCTTTGCAAAGGGCAGCATGGATTCCCTTAAGGCAGGCTAAGGGAATCCAGGCTGCCCTTTGCAAAGATGACATTTTTACATGCATGTTTCCAAGGCCAGAAGACCTCAGCAGCAGTGATTAAGGTAAGAGGGTGTCGGTGGGGGTGAGGTGGAGTGAGGTAGGGAAAGGAAGGGGGTGTGGGGGTAGGCTGTGCTATTGTGTGGCTCTGTGGGCTGGTGGCTCCCTTTCTGCCTCCAATCAGTGATTGGCGGCCGGTAGGCAGAATGGTGTTTTTTTCAATATGAAGGATGAATAAAAACGGGTAAATATTCGTCTCTGGAACCCACAAATACAGATCGACAAATATTTAACAAATCAGCTGTATTCGTCAGAAAAAGTGATCCATTTTTATATTCGTCCCCATCTCTATTCTTAACCTGTTTTAATGACGTGTGTTTGCTACCATGTATGCTATGTTGTATGGAAAGTTAGAAATAAATGTAATTAATAAATACTGTAAATGGGATTTTGTTTACTGGTCAAAGACCATAGTAAAATCTATGAATGTATACATAAATAACCTACAGACAAGCAAGCTAAATATAGAATGAGAGAAAAATTGTGAAATAGAAGTTGGAGTTTAGATTGCAGGGCCCTGATTGTGTTCCTGCTTTTCTGAAGACTTGTTTTAAAAAATAAGTAATGTTGGGCTACAGTCCTGATTGGCCTGCAGTTAACTTTCATTGCTAAAGATCATGAGTGAGGAACATGCTTTGGACTATCATTCCCGTGGCTTCTTACTGTTTGCTACGCTTTTTAAGGTTTCTGAGATGTGAAGACTGAAACAACTGGGGAGCTAGAAGATCCCCATTCTTGCCATGAAGTATGCTCAACAACACTTCTCTGCTGGCTCTGAGACTTGCAACAGGAGGGCAGATTTTCTTGGCAGAGTGTTGAAATTTTCGCTAGGAACTTCTAACCATGCAGCAGAAGTTCAGGGATCTCTACAGAGCAGAATTAGCTCCAGATCTCCCCAAATAGACTGCCCCTTTTGTTCTAATCAACTGGCATTTACAGTCTCAATAACTCACACTGAGACATTTGGTAAGAGAAAGAATAAAAGGTTCAATTTACTCACAATTCTAAACAAATCAAAAACAGCTTAATGTAGAAAATTCACTGGTTATATGAACAGGCCTTAACTAACTCATAGCCTGCTTCCAGCAGACACCTGCAGACTACATTTTAACTAATACAAACTGAATACTAATTGACAGCAGACACAAAAAAAGAAATGAAAATACTATTAGGCAGAGAGGCATAGGCTCTCTTTGAAATAAGAGGCAGAGAGGGAAAAATTGGTTGCTGCTGGATTGACTGACAGTTATTCCAGCCCAGAAAGGTCTCTCCCAGCCAAACCTCTTACAGACAATATAAATAGGTTGCAGTGATGGGCTCCCGGTTTGTAACTTTTGATCGCCAGTCGTGACAAAACTAAGAACTAGAAGTTGCAGTGACTCTTCCAACCAAAAAAAAAAAAAAAAAAAAGGAGAGTAATGAAGAAGTGAACCTTGCTCTTGTTGTTTAGTCATTAAGTCATGTCCGACTCTTCATGACCCCATGGACCAGAACACGCCAGGTCCTCCTGTCTTCCACTGCCTCCCGGAGTTGGGTCAAATTCATTCTGGCAGCTTTAATGACACTGTCCAGCCATCTCATCCTCTGTCATCCCCTTCTCCTCTTGCCTTCACACTTTCCCAACATCAGGATCTTTTCCAGGGAGTCTTCTCTTCTCATGAGATGGCCCAAGTATTGGAGCCTCAGCTTCAGGATCTGTCCTACCAGTGAGCACTCAGGGTTAATTTCCTTTGGAATGGATAGGTTTCTTCTCTTTGCAGTCCAGGGGACTCTCAAGAGCCTCCTCAAGCACTACAATTCAAAAGCATCAATTCTTCAGCCTTCTTTATGGTCCAGCTCTCACTTCCGTACATCACTACTGGAAAATCCATAGCTTTGACTATGCGGACCTTTGTCGGCAAGGTGATGTCTCTGCTTTTTAAGATGCTGTCGAGGTTTGTCATCGCTTTCTTCCCAAGAAGCAGGCATCTTTTAATTTCATGACTGCTGTCCCCATCTTCAGTGATCATGGAGCCCAAGAAAGTAAAATCTGCCACTGCCTCCATATGTTCCCCTTCTATATGCCAGGAGGTAATGGAACCAGTGGCCATGTGAAAACAGAGGCATGCAAGATCTGCGAGACTCTTCAGAAACACGGGCAGCCTGTCTCTTCACTACGTACAAACTATGGTCAGGATCACATTCTTCACAGAAAATTGTTGTTATATGCTTTCAAGTCAGAAGCACCTTATAGCAATCCTAACAGGACTTTCAAGTTAAGTAAAATATTTAAGGAGTGGCTTTACCAGTTCCACTCCCCTAGTGAGTTTTCATGGCCAAGTGGGATCTGAATGAAACCCTGAATCCTAGTCCTTATTCTATCTATGACACCACACTGGGTATCTACTCACAGAAAACTAGGGATGTAAATTCTTGATTGTCCCATTCTGATGCATGAGGTTCAGAAAGCATAAAATTGTTTTCCTCACAAGGTGTATTCTGTCAGTCTTGACAAAAGTTTTCACATTTTTCTAGAGTTTTTTTTAAAAGCACACACTGCAAATAATACAAATCATGCAAATAATGTGAATTGCACAAAACTGCTATAGCTGATCTTTTGTTTCATGGACTTTTAAGAGTTCAAAGCACTGAATAGGTTTCTATGTCTGTTTGAAACACCATCTAGTTCTCCTGAGATTGATCTCTCTCTCTCTCTCTCTCTCTCTCTCTCTCTCTGTGCACACATTGCTCAAAGGCAGGGGACTCTAATTTGCACAAACAATGTTGTACAAATTGCCAAGACATGAATAAGGGAGAAAAAAGATATTGTCTTGCTCTTGTATGAAGGGTAGAGAATCATATGGGACTTGAAAATTTCTGTTTGAGACAACCTAAATCAACAAGAGCAAGGATTTTACCTACTTCTGTATGAAACCTTTCAGGAGAAGAGCTCAGGGGAATATTTCACCTGTTTGGCTGGACAGGTTTTTGTTGTTATTCTATTTGCACTGCACAAACCATTGCTAGGCCATTTAGCCTGTGACTCTGAGCCAGTTACTATGACACCCTAACTCATAGATGGATTAATCATTATGCTCTCTCATGTCACAGAGTAATGGCACCAATTAAACCAGGGTCTTTGTTGGAGTGTAACCATTCAACGATCATTTGTGTGCTGAAAGAAAGGGACTCTGCCCCCAAACTGTTTTACTAGTACCCTTTAAGACCTCCTATGGCCAACACAGCAGAATGTGGTGCTTTGTCCTATACAGTGAAACAGCCAGCAAGTGTTCCTTATGAGAAATATTGATGGAACATGCTGATTTTGTGGGTTTGGTTAACAGGAAATTCCCTCTGTTTATATATGTACCTATATGACTGGCTTTGCATGAGATTAAAAAAGTGCAGCCCAATCTTTATTTTTCTTCTTTTTTTGGAAATAAATCCAAATGACTGCAAGACTTATTCTAGGAATAAAGGATAAGTTGTTCATTTCAGAATTTAATCTAACCGAATTAGGTTTTGATCTATTGACTTTTTTTCCTTATTTAATGTATCTGATTCACACTTCCTTCAATGAAAATCCAGATATCCTTTTGTATTTATAGTTTTCAAAATGTTGTATTAATTGTCCAACATAAAAATGCATACAAAAATATACATATAAGGGAGAAATGTACACAGAACTGTGTATTCATGAAATAACGGGCAAAGATGCATTATGTGAGGGAAAGCTGTTTGAAAAAGTAGCATATATTAAGTGATATAAAATACATATTTTAAGATAGAATGTGCATTACATTGCAGAATTTTATTTAAAAATATCAGAAACTGATATGGACATGGGCGTCAGAAGATTTTTTTAAAAAAACATGGGATGCTAAAGAACAAACAAGATGTTGAGAGAAATGTACACTTCTAAACAACCTCTTTCCTCTTCTGTGATGGGACTCCCTCAGCAATACATGACTCAGTAATTAGAGCTGCAAATCATGCTTGTGTTAACTTATCAACCACAACAAAACATG